CAACCCAGATTTTTACCAAATTTTACCACAAGATAGAGGATATCTCAACCTTCAAAAAGGCGTATGGCACGTCCCTATTGGACCTCTATGGAGGGAGATATGCTCTCCCGAAGTTTGCCTAAATTATGCCAATTTCTAGAAATTTCGCCAGAGTTTCCTTTGTTTTTATAAAATTTCCCAAATTTGCAAAGTGATCTAAGACCTCAAATTGTACCTAATAATCATAGGGTGGCACACACAAGGACTAGCAATGCCTTGGGGCTCTTACAACCCCTCACAGTTTATATCAATTTACTCAATACACACCATATTGCTTACTTTATTACACTTAGCACATTTCAATCACCAATATCCATTTGCATGCATTTTCTAAACATACACATAATCATAATCCTAAAATAGGCCTATTGCCCTTTCATCATATTACATCAAGTATCCATGTACAAATTACAACTTCTCAATTACCTATTACAATTCATAACCTTCAATTACAACATAAAGCATGAACCTTAAAATGACTTATACAACTAGACTTAGGCAAAATGACATGAACATATGCAATGTTCATGCCCTAAGTCTAGCCTAGGCCCAATGGCCACCAAAAAGCAAAATGTATAATCCATCATCTAGTCATCTTACGGGCTTCTTGCCCGCTGCTCCGGCACCACTGCTACCTCATGAAATAATGCCCCCAAGACGAGGTGAGATATACGAATATATCTCAGTAACCCAGAGGTTCTGGAGAATACTTCGCCCAATGGTTCACTTCGATGCATATAAATAACATACAATAACATCTTGAAAAACGGGATAAAGCAAGAGATTTAGTGAAGTAGGGGATCATAGGGATACAAAATACGACGAAGCTGGAATGGTCAATGCCAATACCACGCAACGTCCAGCCATCGGCTCGGCATATAAGCCTACGGGTATCAACCAAGGCATGTTCCTACAACATCTAACCAAGGCACCCTCCATCCATATACACCCGAGACTTCCTAGTGTGCTCCTATCCGGATCACGCACCACGACCCTAGGTCAACGGGAACTCCCTCTCGGAGACCTATCCAGTGGAAGTCCGTAACGCCCGAAGGCAAACTGTCTACTAGCCAGAGACTCGGTACATCCTATGTACCAACATACATACTAAATGCATGATCATGTTATTCTACATTACTTACATACACTTCCTACCATCACCCTCAACGGGCATGGTGGAACACACAAGGAATCAAGCCCCAGTACCAAGAGGTTACCTGTATAGTCCTCTCCACTTAGCTCCGAGTAGTATATTCTCCGAGCTCGTTACAACAGAAATGCATACACAGAGGACATTCCAAATCAATTATTGTTCACACAAACACATGCAAGTTACCAATTATACAAGCATGGTTCCAATTACTCACCTCAATCCCACTTGGTCTGAGACCAAGGGCAATCCACCGAACTCACGGTTCGGGGTTCAAATCTACGTACAGCAACCTACAACAACCATGTACGAATCATCAATACACGGCAAATCTATCAGAATACGAAAACTTCAAAATTTCTCCCCACACAAGGTGGGTTCGGCCTACATAGTGTTATTTTACAATTTATTTTTCTAAATTTTCTTTCTCATTTTCTTAGGCATCCCTAAGTTACCAAAAGGTCATATCAAGTGCCACTTTTCATTTTACATCATTCAAACATCGTTTTGCCTAATATTTTGCTCTAGGTTCTATATCACCTCTCAACACTATCAATTATTTTTCCAACCTTCCAACCACCATACAACCCATCTAATTATCATACAATACACAACACATCATTCAAATAATTTTACAACATCAATTCCTCTCCTTTCCTCACATGGCTGAATTCAACATAAGCCAAGCCCAAGGGATTTTCAATCAACTTTAACTATTTCACACCTCATACAATCCTATTATATCATCATACAACCATACAACAATCCAATTACATAATCCTATCACAATTCCACAACACAAAGTCATGGCATCCTCAAAATTTTTCTTAGTTAAAATCATATTTTCACCAATAATTTTTATTGCATTTATAGCTCTAGCACCTCATTCTAAGACATTATCATCTAATACACATTTTCCATTTGAGCTTTCTAACGTCACAATTCAACAAAACCCCCTTTAGGGTTCATGAAACAAATCCAAAGATTAACCATCAATAAGGTGTAGAAACTTACTCAAAAGCTAGGCACAAGGCTCCTCCAAGACATCCTAAACCATTGGAGCTCCAAACAACTCCATGAACACCAAAAATCCCAAGGGATTCGTGACTGATTTTTGCCTATTTCTCACAAATGAGAGGGTTTCAAGGCTAATGGATACCACCAATGTGTTTGGAAGATGATTTTCAACAAATTTCAAGACAAAAATCAATGAATTTGGTTGAGTATTGGTGGAGTTATGGAGGGAGGAAGATTTGAATGAAAATGGTGGGGGGGAGAGGGAGGAGGCCGCGAGTTTCTTAGGGAAAGGGAGAGAGAGAAGTGATGATGAATAGTGTATGCTTAGGTGTTTAAGTGACTTTAAGTGAGGTGGGCCCCACCGCCACCTCACGCGATTTCAAATGAATTCGAATTTCCCTCCGATTCCACTAAACGTCCATAATTTCATAACTTATTTAGAAACTCTAATTTTTAACATTAACCATTGTCTTTTAATTACTCTTGATCAGATGAATCCGGAGTTTTCCGATCGTTCAGAGAAAATGTTATTTTAAGCTGTTGCGCGCGCCGTAGGCACGCTTCCCCAAACTTACTTTTTTCCATCAAATTTCATCATGAATCATATTTCCTAGTTATATAAATCATTTATAACTTGTATTCAAAACCTAGAGCTCAAAACTCAATCGGTACGCTTTACAGTGCAACTGTACCGCGGTATTTTACCCGGTAAAACACTATTCACTGAATTTTCTGAAACTTGCCTAACCACTCAATTTTTCGTTCTGAATCCATTTTCAGTGTTATTTTTATCATCTGAGACCTTCTACTCAATTTTTATCTTCATAGGGTTGCATGTTGGCTAATTATCGTTTTACCCTTCCTTTTATATTCTGACCTAATTCTCAGGATTTTCACTAATCCTTCTCTTTAATCAATGTTTAATATTTTAATATATAATTAGAATTGCGAGGTGTTATAACTTTCCCACCCTCTAAGGGTCTTAAACCCCAAAGTAAGTCTCTCCTATGTGTCATATGAAAGGTGCAACTAGAATCAAGCACTCATTCTTCTCTTTGAGAAGAATCAGACAAAACAAGAACCTCCCCACAATCATATTCCCTTAAAAGATTAGCATAATCAGCTTTATTAACCACTATCATACTCCTGACTATCTCACAACCTGATTTTGATGAAAAAAAATTGATGCAAGTAAGATTTGTTCATATGAATTGCGTTCCTAGATGTTAGATACCATTAACAACTAATTTTAGGTCCATAGCATTCATAAAACTCCATATATGGGCCAAGCAGCGGGTTTGGGCCTTGTCTTGCAGGTTAAGGAAAATTCCATGGTTCTTCTTTTCAAGAGATTTTAGATTTTGAAACAGATTCAGGACTTACACTCTTTATAAAAAGTTATAGATATTTCTTTTAACTTTCTTACAAGACCAATATTATATTAAGAGTTTATTTTTTCTGTAGTGAATGCAGATAAATTATCTGTATTGAGCCCAAAACGATTTTATTTTGGAGCGAAAATCAAAATATTTTCGTAATTATAATTTATCCTAAATTATAATATTCTTTATCATTATAATTTTGTAATTTTTTAATCAAAACAACGTCATTTTAGAAGTAAATATAGATAACTTTAAAAGATTGACAGTAGAAATATTAAACCCTTATATTAGTAGTACATTTGCAACTCAAGTTATTATCGAAATACAAAGACACTTTTAGAAATTTCATATGACGCTAAATTAAACAATTAATTCCAAAATGACCCAATTAAGCTCAGTTTTCTCAAACTCTGAAAAATATCATTAAATTAAGCATAAAAGAGACTAATTAAGTAGATTAAGTACGAGACAATTTAGTGTATAGAAGTCGGTCTCATAATGCTAATACCTAAGTTACAAGTCTCTTACTTGTGAAGGCTACTCCGATCCATATCATTATATTGTCCGTTATTTATTACAATTACTAAATAGAAGAAGCCTTGCCATTCTAGTTGATGTTGACTTGAATTATAATATCTTGTGTATATTCTTTAGATTTTTCTAGCATTTTTAGCTTTAGTTTTTCTAACAAGTGGAGATTTACCTGTTTCAATGTGTTTTGTTTTTTTGTTTTGTTTTTTGTTTTTAACTATTTTGTTGAGTAATCAATAAAATAAGTTCTTCATGTAACTTTTTTTTCTTAGAGTTAAAATCAAAATACAAAATAGAAACATCTGAAATATATTTTCTAAATTTAATTTTAAAAACTAAAAACTAAATATCAATTTTAAGACTATTTTTTAAAGGGATAACATATTGTAACAACTAATTAGGGTTACTACCAATTAGTTTCACCGTTAAATCGATTATGTTGATCCAACGGTTATATTTATTTCTATCTTTGTATGGTTAATGCTTTCACATTAAATATGGGAAATCATAATCATACAAAGGTAAAAATAAATATAAAGTATTAAATATGAGAAATCATAACCATACAAAGATGAAAATAAATATAACCGTTGGATCAACATAATCGATCCAACAGTGAAATTGATTAGTAGTAATATTGGTAGTAACTCTAATTGGTTGTTACAATATCCTATCTATTTTTTTTAAAAACACATATTATTAAACAGATTTTTTTATTCTAAAAATTAAAATATTATTTTTGAAAACGGAATTCAAACATGAAAATTCAATCACCGTTTCAATGACCTGAAAATTCAGAGCTACATTTAAGATGTAGCCTGTCTGTATTCCAAAAAAAAAAGAAAAAAGATGTAGCCTCTCTTAGTCACCGTTTGTTTCATTCCTATATCAATCTTGTGCTAAATTAATAATTTTCTTTCCAATATTATCTCCACTGAAGAGTCCAACGAAAGCAGAAGGGATGCTCTCCACACCCAATGATATGTCTTCAATCACATGCAACTTGTTGGTACGAAGGTAATCTGAAGTTTTTGCCAAAAAATCTGCAAAAACATTCATAAAGTCAGCAGCTAAAAATCCTTTAATGGTGACTCGCTTGTACACAACGTCCAGCATGTTTGGGGAAGCTCTTTTTGCAACATCAGTATACTCGGAGATTACCCCACAAACAGCCACTCTACCAAATGGTTTCATATTAGCAATCGCTGCCTCTAGCATCTCACCCCCAACATTGTCGAAATATATATCAAGTCCATCTGGAAAGTACCTGCAAAATAAAATAAACCTCATCAAACATAAAATACTTTGTAGTTTTACTTTTAATTTTTTTTTAACTTTAGCTAAGAAGTAGTTTTTAGCTTAAAAAAAGATGTGTCAAATAAGTTCTTAAAACTACAACCAAACATGTGGATCAACGGACACTCGGGGTGGCAATTCGAGTCAACACTATACGACATGACACAACACGAATTCGACACGAATACAAATATACTCAATATGAACATGACATAAATTTGAAATCAGATTAAAACCTTTAACACGAACATAACCCACTTATTTTACAGATTATCACGACACAAATAACCTGCCAACCCCAAAGAGTGTTACCTATTATATAAGTTGATATGACACGATAAGACATGAATAACTTGTTTACGACACGATATACCATGAATAACATAACGTACAAGAATATTAACAGAGGTGAATTTTGAGTTTGTGGGTTGACATACAACACAATTTTTTTCATGTCAATTTTTGCTAATACGAAAATGACACGGAATTGAAAACGAATTGGATCGAACACAAATTTTTCATGTCGTGTTAGTGGATCGTGTTAAAAGTTATCACCCTAATTGGCATAGGGTTGTTTCATATCTCAAATTCAAGTTCAAGGAAGAACTTTGTCGCCTTTGTAATCTTACCTGACTCAACCAAATTAATCGGTTAATCAATAAACTAGTTGGAGAAATCTCGAAAATAAAATAAAATTGAAGTACTAATTTTGAACTTCTATTTTAGAAATGGTTTTATGATTTTAACTTCCATCAGTCATCACTGGCAAACCTTCTAAGAGTGGAGTTTAGATCTGTTTCTTCCTTGTAGTTGAATGCATCATCAAATCCTAGCTTTTCTTTGAGCAATGCCACCTATGACAAATCACTTACGGGTATTAGGTTTTTGAGTTGAAAACCCAAGTTAGTTAGGTGAGAAAGGGCAATAAGCCGAATATCTCCAAAAGAAAAAGAAAAAGAAAGGGCAAAAAGGCTCACTTTTTTATGGCTCCTAGCACAACCAACAACGTAGCAGCCCATAAGTTTTGCATATTGCCCTACCAAATTCCCAACTGCTCCAGATGCTGCTGAGACAAACACCTTTTCACCTTTTTGGGGTCTGCACACCTCGAAAAATCCCGCATAGGCTGACAGTCCATTAAATCCTGAAATGAAGAATTGACAAAAGTTAATGCCTTTTCACCATATATTAGAAGTGGGCGGCGAGACGCATATGAAAAATATATGTATTCAAGTCATACATTAATTTCATTTGTGATTTGTGCAAAAGTCATTGCGAGCCTGTCATATGTTGCACTCTACAAGATGTGTTGCACTCTACAAGTCATACGTGACAATACTGATTTTTACATAAATTATGTTTTACTCTATACATGTTTTATTATATTATTTTGATAAATTATTTAATTTCTAAATCAAATGTGGAAATTTGTTTTCCTTTTAGCATTGTTGAGATATATAGTCACATATTGGTTGTATGTGCAACTAATGTGGAGTTTATAAGACCTTGGGCACTCCTACCCTTTGAGCTAGCTTTTGGGGTGGTGACCTCAAGGTTCTTTACATGGTATCAGAGCCTCACTGTCCCCCACTTTCTCTTGTGGCGTTTCTTAGCACAGGTAGGCTGGACCTGTTGCATTGTCCACGCTTCAAGCCCAAAGGGCTCTCGTGTGAGGGGGCGTGTTGAGATATATAGTCCCATATTGGTTATATGTGCAACTAATGTGGAGTTTATAAGACCAACCTTAGGATAAGCATTAAACAGGTCAAAAGGCGAAAGATAATATATATTCTTTAAACATAAGCAGTACTGTAAGTTGTCAAAATGCTCCTTCACTGTAAGTTGCCATGATAACAGGCATCGATGGTCCATTCCATATAATGTAATGCTTCATTTTAATTCTTATCAGTACAAGCCTTTTTCATTAGTTTAATTTTTCTTCAATAGTAATAATAATAGTTTCTTTTAATGCACATTCAGCATGTAAGAAAAGAAATAAATATTACAAAATTATATGCAAACTTTTTATCACTAAAATATAGGAAACAACACATGTGATGCTAGTGAAACATGATAAGCGGCAATACGTAATAACCTAAAACTCCAAGATGATAAGTGAGTGGAAATTCAGAAGACTCTAATTTGTTTAGTATGCTTTCTTCTTTAACCAAACTGTACTCTGCCCAAGTGAATACTCCCATAACCAAATCATCTTTCTCAAACTTAGCATTCCCTGAAGCCACAACTTTTCCAATAACAACACCATCAATAGCCTGCAAAGTGCCAAAATGTAGAAATAACACAAGCTTAGAAGTCATTATAAAATGATTGAACGATTCTTCTCCACATGATTTTTGGCATTCATTCTTCCAAATTAAGAGACCCATTTCATAAAAAATCACCACTCCTCGTTAAACCCCGACTAACGAATTCAAACCCATGATTTTTCTATCACAAAGAAACAACTTTATTAGTGCTGGAGACTCTTGTTCTCTTAACAAACTTATTTCATAAATAATGATTAAATCTACTTCTACTAGTTCTACCATATCAGTATTCAGTATAGTACCAAAATAATGACTACCTTGCTTGGAGTTATGGGCAATGCAAAGCTGATAGCACTCTGGGAACTGCTGGAGCTCTTCATGCGGTTAATCTGGTATGGGTCAATAGAGATATACAGATTCTTCACGATGATATCATCAGAACCTGGCTCAACTGACAGAGAGAAAGCCTCCGTTTTGATCTCAAAATGGGACTCTTTGGGTGCATCATCAATGTGATGCTTCACCACAATGTATTTGTTGGTCAATTCCATTTTTCACCTTGTGTGCTTGTTCTGCTCTTGTTGCACCTCTATATGCATATATAGATAGATAGAAAGATAGAGGCTATTGAAGCTTAGTTGATTTTTCCTTTTGTGCAACTTGTTCCTACATGACAAATGAATGCCGAACTAGTGCGCTGGCCTGCAGGAAACGACAATTCAAAGAGTGAAGGGACAGAACTAAGAGATAAAAATGGAATCATATATGAACTTGAAATCATTAAATTGGTGAGATTCCTTTTATGACTTTAAAATATATTGTTATGAGTCTAGGATTTTTAATAATTAGAGTGTGGGATTTTCTTATTGCTGTTAAATTTTTCTTTCTTTTGTGAAATGGGTGATTGTAAGTCATGTATAATTAGTATTTAAGCGTAAATTCTATCATGGGAAATACTTTTTTTATGTTATAGAAAAATAGTTACCTCATGTTGTAAAAAAAAATTATAAGTGAGACCCACAGGTAATTAGAGGAGAGAGAAAAAAGAGTGGTGAGACTCAATCCTTTGTTGAGTGTGTAGGAAAGTTGTTTATCTCATATAAAATGAGATAAACATAACCCTTCGATTATATACTGTGCTATGAGAACATACTCTTGCTAGTATTTATGACTAAAATTGCTGGAGAAGCTCGTCTTAGTGACTTACTTGATAATGATGCCAAATAATGATTTTGAGCTTGTCAGTTATTTATTATATGGAGAAGGATCCGTTTATAAATTTTTTTTACAAATTACACTAAGTATGACCGGTCATACACTCTTGATTAGTGTATGACCGGTCAGACATAGTGTAGTTTGTAAGAATTTGTAAACAAAAAGTTTATAAATATAACTTTCCCTTTATTATATAATTGAAAGAATATGTGAGTTCCATCTATTATCATGCAAATTGCAGACACTTTAAAGTTTCTTATGTTATAATTTTTTGTTGTGATGGCAGGTCATGCTTGTGAAGCTAGAACAAATATTTGAAAAGGATTTTGTTTGATCTTAAAGATCAAAGGTTGTCCTATGATCTGAGAGTTAGTAGTGTCTATAGATGAGATAGTTGCATGTGATGGCATGTCACTGTTCACTATGAAAAGGTTGAGTGTCAAAGAAAGTGATGTGTGTGAACAGTAATCATATCGAGGCTAGGGTTTCAGAGAGCATACCTGTGAGGTGAAACACCCCCCTCCCCCCTTTTATAGAGAGATTCTTACCTTAGAGTAGGTTAGGCCAAGTTTATCTAATCAGTCCTGAGCCAATGACACGGTCCATAATAGATTTCTTCCAAATAGGGGTGGTAATTTGGTTCGACACGACACAACATGAATTTGACACGAACACGAATACATCTAATATGAACACAACACAAAATTTGAAATCGGGTCTTGTATTCCATTAAATTCATTGATTCAGTTACCTAGAATTCACTGCTTGCATAGGAGCACATCAAGCAACAATTACTTTATTAAATCAATGGTTGTGACAGCTTTTAGGTAAAACATTTTAATCAATTGGATCACGGGTCATACCAAATGAACCCGTTCTACAATATACACTACAAAAAATCATGTGATTTGTGGAGGTTATCTGGAGGTCAATAAAACCCCCAAAAAGATATAAATTCTGGCATTTTTTGTGAACGCCACTTTACAAAATTTATATAAATTCTGCCAAAATTTATATAAATTTTTAAATAGCTTTTAGTTGTTATTTGATGACCGCTGCAATGTATGTATATTTAAAAAATGTATTTGTTTTTTCATCAAACCCTAACACTAACGCCTTCTTCATCTATCTACTGAACATATTTCTTCATTAGATTAACACAACATGAAATCCATCATTGCAAGGCAAAGATAATGTACATTAACTCCCTCTTCTTCTTCTATCTCCTGAACATATTTCTTCATTAGATTAACATAACACCTTCTTCTTCTTCTATCTCCTGAACATATTTCTTCATTAGATTAACATTCCAAGCATTGTGGTGAGCTTTCAAGCATCCTGGTGAGCTTTATCGGTTTTTTTCTTTGAAATTTATATTTATATTTTTTTTTGAGTAAATACCCTTTTTCGTCCCTGACAATTTTCACGAAGCCCATATTGGTCCCCAACAATAAAAAAGGCTCTGTTAGGTCCTTGCGTTTGAAAAAAAGTGTCACGTTTATCCTTCTTTTAGTTGGCATCCAACGGCCAAACTAACGGAGCACACGTGGAACGTTAGTTTCCTAACTCGGAATTAAGTAGTCCAGCGTGGAAGTAACACGACGATGTTTTGAACATGCCTTATGTCTTCTTGGAGTTTTGGACAACTGACCCTAGCATCGAAGGGTAACTGACCCACACAACCCTGTCAATTTGAGAACCCTAAATCAACCATAAACAAAAAAATTCCCCAAAAGCTCCGCACGTTGATGACTGAAAATTGAGGAGAGTAGAAGTTATTTACTGTATTTGCTGGGGCGTAGGAGAAGATGAGTCTTTCATCTGGCATGGGGGCTCAAGTGAGAGTACTTCAATAAGGGGTAGAACAACGACAAGGACTGCCGGTCGAAGGTGCAAATGTCGGAGGCAAACTATCGTCTATACCTCCAAAACAGAGAGAAACCCAAATAGGGCATTATTTGGGTGTCCTAATTTCAAGGTATACATGTGTAATTTGAAGTTAATTAAGTTGAAATATTTGCTCACCATGGTTTGTAATTTTGGCAGGAGAAAAAGCCGTTTTGTGATTTTTTCAGATGGGTAGATGACTATGTAATGAAAGGATGGAGCTTGAAGATGAAAGAATACACAAGGTGGAGTTGGATGTTGCTGAAATGGATTTCAAGTTGAAGTATGTGGACATGATGATGAGTGAGCAATTGCAAGTTAAGCTGAAAGACCAACGTGTGAAGATTATTGAGCAAGAACTGAAGATTAATGACTAGGAAAGAAAGTTGAATGAGCTATACCTGAAGATGGTTTCAGAGTTAGATAGGATGGACAATGAAATTAGACATGTTGGTAGGTCAGATACGGTTATAGTTGGTGCTTGTGTAGGTGTGATAATGATTTGTATTTTTGTTGCAAGTGTGGTAACAATCAAAACTAGTGTACCAAATATATTTTTTCTTCACTGAAGTGTAATGAGTTCTATGTACTTTAATGAGGAAATAAATCAAGATGCTTTTATTATATGGCTTATTCTATATTGGTTTGAAAATGTGTTTTTTTGTAGACTCATTTATGTGGTCAAGCTTACTCTATATGTAAATGCCATGAACAAGGTCATGGATTATTCCTTGCCATCTATTTGCATCATATGTTTTAGTCCTATTATGAATCCAATGCCATGATGGATTATAACCATTTTTTTATTTATCTGCATAATTAGGCTGGAATGAATGTATCTGCTGGAAGCATTGTGTCACAAACCACATACCACACCTTTTTAGGTTAAGTCAATCAATCTGCATATCAGAAGTTGGAAGTTGGAATGCAGTCACATTTGTTTCAAAATGGGATTGTGTGGACTCATTTTGGTCCCTAACAAATTACATGAATCCCATTATGGTCCCTGACAAATTCCTTGAAGCCCTATTTGGTCCTTAGCACTAAAAAAATGGACATGAAAACAGAAGTTGCAAGGCAATCATATTTGCAGCAACCAGAAGTTGGACCTATATTATAAGTTGGATTTGTATCACAAACCACCAACCACAAATGTATCCATCTTAGAGGCCAAACTCTTTCAAATATTTGTTGTTAGTATCAGAGACAATTTGAGTGTAAACAATGGGAAATAAATTGCAATTGATTAACTGATTAAACAATGGGAAAAAAGCAATTTACCAAGGTTGATAAATCAGGATTAATGTAGCCATTTACAATTCAAAACCCATCCATCAAACAGTATCCACATGACTAAGTCATGATTACAGACCCAAAACAAAAAGAGGGCCTGTCAATTGTAATACAAAGCAGCATGTAATTCTCCTAATGGCCTTAAATACAAAAAAATGTAGGGGTACAATTCATAATGGCCAACATTACAAAAAAATGTCCAAAGATACCAGTGTTGCCTATACGAAAAACACTGAACCTACAATTGATCATGTCTTTCAAGCTGGCCTCTGTGGCCTAAACCCAGGTGTGGTCATGAAGGTCATTAGCTTGGTCCTTGTGCCACTGCTTGTTGCATTGAGAGTTTCACTGGACAAAACTTCAGGTGATGGTGGGGCAGAAGGTGGTGGGCTGTTGCCTCTAATTGATTCTTCAGCTGCATGGGAACTTGGTAGTGCAAGTCCTCCTTGACTGAGAGGGATCTCTTCTTCAGGTCTTGATGGAATGTTGACAGTAACTGGAGTTGAAGGAGCTGCTGGTCCCTTCCCTTTCTTTCTTGCTGCTGGTCCCTTACAAGTCTTTGCATAGTGACCAGCTTGTCCACATTTAGGACATTTAGCAGCATATGTCCTTTTCACTCTTTTGGTATTGCTTCCATGTTCCTCACTTGGATCCTTTTTCCCATATTTCTTGGGACGGCCAATGGGCTTTTTCAATGGTGGAGGAATATGTTTAGGCTCTGTTGAGGTAGGCCAATACTTATCAGAATTGACAGGGTTCAAGGTGTGTGCATAAGTGGCATGCAAAGCATCCACTGTTAGCTATTGATGCACATACAACTCTGTTGGTTCATTCTTATGACATATTGCAGTAATTGCATGCTCACATGGAAATCCAGTCAGCTGCCACAGATTGCATGCACATGTCTTATATGTTAAATTTACTCCAACCCTTTCACCCTTTCCACTAACTTCATATATGTCTTGATTCAAATTCCTTGTCCATGTAGGGGTCCAGGAATTGCTTAGGACCTTCAATTGATCAAGCTTCTTCTGTTGTGCAGGGGTAATTTCATCCCTAACTGTTCCAAGAATTCTTTGATGTAGTGCCATCCTCCTCATGATGTAACACCTAAGTTCTTCACATAGACTGACTATGGGCTTCGACCTATATCCTACAATTTTCTCATTCCAAAC